ACACGCTTGCCCACCCGCAGCCCCAACGCCGTCCACCTTCCCTGGCCCCATTTCAAACGCCAGAGACACACCGCGGTTTCAAGGCCACCTCAGCCACACGCACAGCAAATCAGCGCCCACACCACCAACCCCCCCGAGCGCCCTTCGCACCTCTGGGCGTTAATCACGGCCCTTCTCGGCTCCCAGGTGGCTTGTGCACAAAACCTTTAATTTCACGGCCAGACCTTTAACCGTGTCTCTTCAGCTTTCAGAGCATTCATTCCCTTGAAAATAAAGCAGCACACGGCCCTTAAGAGGGAGTTGTGCCTACCTAGATCCCTACTGTTAACAAGGTTCACCTGCCCAAAACAGAATGCTCATTCAAGGCCTATTCATTCACAGAAAGGGTGTTTGTTGCACTTTGTACTATCCAGACTACTAATACGCTCATGATTAGGAGAAAAAAAAGAAAAAAGCAGAGACTTGGAAAAGTCTTACTTTAAATTTCCTAGTCTGCTACAGGACTTAATATAGCCTAAGCAAGTCAGTAAGTCTGTTTGCTCCAGCGTTCTGCCTGCACAAAGCAGATAAAAACCTTCTTGTTCCAGATCACAGCAAAAACGCCTAAGAAATTATAACACCCTTACGCATCAGACAGCTGTTGCTAAGCTTCTACGCTTTGTAAAACTATAAATGGAAATTTTAAGAAATTCTGGAGATTTACTACCCACTTGCCCGCATCTCACAAAGAGACTTCAAAATCCTAATTTTGTATCTGTGTGGCCAGAGCCTGCGAGAACAACAGCTGGAGAGAGTTTTAGAAAGTCCTGGGAACCTTCCCAAGACATCTTAGCAGCCCAGGACTATTCAGTTTGAAGTTTCCATCCAGACATGAAATGTTTTCTCACAAACAGAAAACAAACCCAACCTTTGACATCAAGAGATTTATCCATAAGCAGTTTGCACCCATCTGCACGTTATGTGGGAAACCAACCCCCTTTTCAAGCAGCCGTTTGCCAGGTAGATGTGAAAGCTTTCCTGAAGAGACGGGATTTGAGGGAACAAAACCCGCTGTTCCTCCAGGCAGTCTCGCTTACGTCGTACGGGCAGGTCAGTCCCTGAGAAAGGGGCCAAGAACACACGAGAGAGAGGAAAGCCGCCG